CCTCTGAGAAAGCACCCTGAGTGCCTAGCGCTCCACCACCGGATCATTTCCCACCTCTGAGAGAAAGCACCCTGAGTGCCCAGCGCTCCACCACCAGATCATTTCCCACCTCTGAGAGAAAGCACCCTGAGTGCCTAGAGCTCCATGGGATAAGTACCTGTTGTCGGGCAGCTCCTCCCATGTTTTCTCACCTGGTTTTTAACTTCGGTGCTCTATTGTTTAGGAATAAAATCAGCAAGAAAGATTCTGTCCTGCAAACAAATCAGTCTGTAATTTGTGAACACCCCGACCTGGTTTTTAGAACTAGGAATACAAAGGAAGGAACAGTGATTCCAGTACATGCATCCTGTAAGACAGTGAAAATGTGAAATAATTTGTTTTGTAATTGTGCTAAGAAAAAGTGACACAACAAAACACAGGAAAGAAAATTTTGAAGAATTCAAGTATAAAACAAAAATACAGGCCGAGTATCCCTAATCTGAAAATCAAAATCCTAAATGCTCCAAAACCCAAAACTTTTTCAGTGCTTACATGTCAAAGGAAATTCTCACTGAAGCATTTTGGATTTTGGCTTTTTAGATTAGGGATGTTCAACTGGTATGTATATAATACAAATATTCCAAAATTTTTTTAAAAATCAGAAATCTGAAACATTTCTGGTCCCAAGCATTTCGGGTAAGGAATAGTCTCCCTGAACTAAGAAATAAACTGTGAATTCCTGATAACTATGCATGATTCATGTGAAGTGATCCATACAAAGATCATGACAGGACTATTTCAAGGACAAGTGAATAAAGATTCGGTTAAATAGCTTTACCTGTTCAGTCTTCTAGTGTAATGCCAATTAATGCATATTTGAAAAAGTGACCACACTTGGTACATAATAAACACTAGCTGACGATCATCAGAAGGAAGCATACTTTTTCCTGAGTCTGATAATCACTATACTTTAATCCAACATCTCTCTGGTGAAGCAACTGTGAATGATTACTGAAGTAATTAAAGATACTCAAGGTAAAGTTCCAATAATAATCATAATTTTTCAAATTATATAATTATGAAA